AAAAAATGACAATCACATTAATTTTTATTTGAACACTAAAAAATATGGGACAAATATTTAAACATGAAATTTGTTTGAGAATAATAAACTGAAATCAAACTGAGCATTTCAAATTCATAAGCAAGCAGACTAGTAAACTTGTGTGCAGCATGTCTCAGATCTGTATCACCACTTCTGCCCAGCAAATTCTCGGTTTCCTCTTTCTCTCATATCACTACATGATATTACAGCCTCTTATGAATAGCTCCTTCCTCGTTCTCTCGGCTTCTCTTTTTTTTTTCCTGCCAGAGTAGTTTCTTCCCTCGTCCTCTCAGTCTCTTTTTTTTCAACCAGAATAGCTCCTTCGATCCCTCTCTCTTCATCTCAATCTCTTCCTCTCTCAGCCTCTGTTTCAGCTTCTAATCTCTGAGTCTGTTTTTCTACCTTATCCTCGATCTCTTCTTCCTCTCCTCTTATGTTCTTTCATGCTCTGTTTTTTACATTTCTGCCCCTGTTTTTTCTTACTTTTTTCTCCAACAAAACCACCTCTCTTGTCAGCCTCCTTTTCATGTCTTTCAGTCTCTCTTTCTCTATTTTCACGTTCTTCGGTCCTCTCTTCTCAGTCACCATCCTCTCTTGTGTCAGTCCCAATCAGCCCTATATAGAGAATAGAATGGTTGAATGATTACTCCCCTGTTCTGCTTCTTCCTTTTCCCTTCTCTTCCGTTGCATTTTCTGTGTGCACCAAAAGCTCTCTGCTCTGGTTTTCATTTCTACATGGCTCTTCTTTTTCTTTGCGTGTGGGTGCTGCCTTTCTGCCTCCTTTTTTCTTTTGTCGTGTCCGTGCCTCTACTTTTTTTGTGCGTGTTTTGTGTATGTTAGTGCTGTGTTTTTCCTTCTGCTCTCTCGTGTGAGTGCATGTTTCTATTTCTTTTCATTTTACGTCTCTGTTTTTTTTTCTATATGTGTTCTTTCTACTTTCTTGTGTGCATGCTTCCTTCACTGTGGTTCTCTATCTCTCTTTCTTCATTTCTGTCTCTCTGTGTTCTCAGCGTCTGTCTCTTGAGCTGTGATAAAATACTGATTCTATCAGTGTTTTGTCCAGCTTACTGCTCTCTTCTTCTTTTTTATTAATAATTCTGATTAATATGTATACATACATACATATATATATATAATATTTAAATGAAAATAAGATTTGAGGAGAGAAAAGTTAACTCTCAAAAGTAGACTCCCAATATTCTTGAATGATTAGGATAATTTGGAAGAAATTTTCTTTTTCAAGATCTAACCTTTCTTTTTGTTTGATTTGTTAAATTATTATACTTTTTTTTAAAATATAATCCTAAAAAGGATTAAATTTCATTTATATATATATTTAATTATTTTAATGGACTAAGAAATAAAATCATAACCAAAAATATTATCTAAAATAAAATTAAGTCCTATCAATTAAATTAATTAATTTTTTTATTTTTTTGTTTTGAAAATATAATCCTAAAAAGGGTTAAATTTCATTTTTGTATTTTTTATATTTTTTGATTATTTATTATTAAATTTAAAAAATATCCGGATAAAATATGGTGTTCACAGTTCCCATTTATCATTTTACTCATTCGTACATATAACGCATACATATAATACATTCCATTTGAAATCGCATTTCAATGACCTATTACAACCAAAAGCCATGTCACACAATGATCTCGCAATGCTATAAAACATGTTCAGTTCAAAACCATTTCATGCACTACATAGCATACTAATACACAGTTATAATAAACAGTCAAACAAAGGAAATTATTTAGTTACCTCAACTCTTCTGTTACTAAAAAAGTTACCTGTGAATTTTAACTAACAGAATAGCTTATCTTAAGCTTCCTTTCTCTACTCACATGTCTAATATGTCAATCTAAACACATTTGGCATATTTTAGTCATTTAGTCCATTTTGACCACAACTCATTTTTACTACTTAGGGCTATATTCATCCGCAAACTCTTTTTCATTTATTTATTCTAGGTCCATTACTACCTAATCACTACTTTGCATCACCTCAACTGATCTTATTTCACTCAAATCAAATTTTTACCTGAACTACTCTTTCTCTCTAAGTGCTAAATTGAGCCTATAAGCTCAAAGCTCTACCATTCAACTTTAAACTAGTCGTAAAGCTCTAATTTAATTTTTGCAAACCTTTTTATTATTAAGCAAGAATCAAACCCTCAAATTCCATTGATTCAATTTTCTTATAACTTATTTTCTAAGAAATTTGTATAGAATGGAAGGTAAGAGTTATGCATAGCTTACCTGATAAGTAATCGATCCGAATCACCTTCCAATGGCTTGAAATACCTTACTCTAGCTTCTCAGGCCTTCTCCTCTACTCCTCTTATGTGTTTCTCAATTTTCACCTTTAAAAATCACCAGATTTACGACTTAAGAAGTGATTTTCTGGTCTATACATCACGGTGCACGCAACACAAGCTGCGGAACATGGCACATTGAGATTTATTCTTACCACGTGCACCTGTTTTGACACAAAATGCACTCCTTCTACCCGTATATGCTAATACAACACACTAACAAGTCAATTTACTAGCTAATCATCCAAATCTCTAATCCCACACTAATTACTACTTCACCCTTGATTAACCTCTAAACTCAAAATTAAAAAATCCAGGGTGTTATAACTCTACTCTAGTGAGACATTACAACTACCTAATTTATAAGGGAATCGATAATCCAATATAACCTATCATATAACTATATTACATCCATTTTATCACTCGATATTTTGATCGAGTGTGAGACATATAATTATCATTCTCCTTTACTTGACTATTACTTTTTTAATTTGTGAGTGGATTGACTATAATAATAGAAAAACCCTTTCCATTATAGTATGGCCATATATTTTCTCAGTCTTACTCATTAAGGGGCCTAGTAATATCTCTCAATTAATGTGAGGGACAAATTTCATCTTGACCACTCATATTCCTCTGCATGAATATTACTAAACTTAATCATAGCCTTCATGATCACCTGGTTAAAGGTGACTTTTGATTAGGTCAAAGTTTAGTGATCATCATGTAGAAATTCATAATGATCTCAAGTTAAAGGGCTTAGTGACATAGTTACATATGAGATAAGCTTATGATTTGTACCATGCAACTTTCTCATAGCAGATCCGTCCAACACCTCGAATCTTTTCAAGTACTTATGACTTTGATTTATATCTCTATAATTAATCTAAGTCATACTAGTCTTCTTTCATCTATGATCCCTCATAAGATGACCGACCAAAGGCATTTAGGACAATTACGATAGTTTATTCAAAGATACAGTTATCATGGTAAACATGCTATTAATATGATAACATAAGAGAAATTTATCAAATAACAATGTTTATAGTATAATGATTGGCCATAGCATAATTTCCAACAAAAGAGGCCCTAAAGGAATCGAATTTCATTGAGTTTGGTCTAGATCTAGGGGGAACTTAAGGGGAGCCACATCAGCAAGTTGGTAGAGGATGGAGGGTGATGTGTGGGGGAGGGTTTTGCAGTTGATGGGATTTTTTGTTTGGATACAAAGTTGAGGATGCTTTGTTAAGGTATAGACATAGCTCTCCATCATATTGCTAGGGCAGAGCCACCCTTTTTTGCTAGTTACAATAGACAACGACAATGTAGCCATGTCGAAGATCTAATGTGGTCTGTGCAATTGGAGGAGAGAAGAAGAATGAAGAAGACAATGAACAAGGAGAGCCATATGGCTAGTCAAAAGGAGGGTCTAATTATTACTTGTCAATTTTTCTAAGCCCTACACAATGACAAATTACCAAATAACAGAAGACTAAATGGCCAATTAACAAGAAAAGTTTTTACTCCTTTAAAATATAGTTTAGGAAAATTTGCCTCACTTAAGGGTGTTTAGTAATCCAAAAAGGAAAATATAAGGATGAAATTAAACTTTAATTCTTTAATATATTGACTTTAATTTTAAAAAAATAAAAGATATATAAAAATATTTTTTCATAAAATAAAAAATTGGGTATTTTGTACGCGGCTGGAGGTAATAATTGTTTTTTTAAAAGATATATAAAAATATCCTTATGAAAATATTAGGGGTGTTCAATCTGGACCCATCCCGATTGGTCCGATATCGTCCCGATCATATTGAGACGATTGTCCCGACACAAAAATAATCAGGACGGGACTTTACGGGACGGGACAGGAAAGGAGTTCGGGACGGGACGGGACACGAGATTACCATCGGGATGTCCCGTCCCGTCCTGAATATTATATATATTATTTTTTATTTTAAATATATTAATTATATTAATATAATTTATACTTATATTAATTATATCAATTATAATTTTAATACTTATAATTCTTATTTAAAACTAAATTTTTTTTATATTGATAATTTTAATGGTATGGAGTAAACATAGTGATATCTTTTTTATAATATATTAATTATATTAATATAATTTATTCTTATATCTATCTATTTAATAACTTTTATTTATAATATATTTCTAGTTTATTTTTAAAAGAGTAATTAGCTTAGTACATCTTCACTAAAGTAGAAGAACAATTATTTGATGTTATTTTTGATTTGCCTGTTGTTGCTAATCTTATAGCATAAAGATCACTTGTATTTTTTATTATAATATGTAGTTGTGATTGATATAATTCAATAATTAATTTTAAATTATTATTATTTATGTACTTGTGTTATTTTGATTTTAAATTTAATAAATTATATAATTTAAAATTTTAATGAACATTATTATCCAGATCTTTTTTCGATATTATTTCATTTATCGGGATGACGGGACATCCTGATCTTATTCAGGTCCCATCTCGACTCTTAACGAGACGGAATGACTTTTGGGACGAGATACGAGATTAGTTTCAATTTTTTTTTTGGGGACCCGTCCCGTCCGTGCACACCCCAGAAAATATTTAGCTGTTTGATAAGTATTTTATGCACACCCCTCTTTCCCGGCCATTCTATTGGATTGAACAGGCGGTGGGAATTGCCCCGCTTCCCTGCGACTTTACGAAGCTCACTGCACCCAACCTGTTCTCACGATTCCCTTACCCTGTTTCCTGCACTGTTGTTGCTGATCGGAATATCTGTGCTTGTGTCAGAACTATGTTATCGCCGTTCGTTGTCCTTATCATTGGTCGGCGAATCTTTGCCTTCATCGTGTGTTTTCTTCCCTGCTCACCGTTTCTGATCTCTGCGTGTACCCTTCCCTGCTCGTCGTTTTCTTCCCTAATAGGTGGTAAAGCTTTCTTCAATTGCATCTTACTCTAGTTCTATTATATATACATAAAAGATTGTTTTTGACTTGTGTTTTTGATTTGTTGGGTTTTGTTGGTTCTTGACTTGTGTCCTTCCATGTAGACCGGAAAAGCTTTTTTCAACTGAGAATGGAATTTATATTTTTTTCATTTGGTTTCTTCTGATCTAGACATCTAGATCAGTTCTTTATTTTTTGTTATTCTTATTCTTCTTGTCTGTTACGATAGTTTGGACTGTTGCTATTTCAGTAAAACTTTGGGCAAACCCCAAGACCTAACATAAGAATTGTGATTTTTGTACCAGAGAAACTCACCCGTTATGCATATTACGGTTTGTTGATGAAGCCTTGATGGGAATGTGTTAAAGGTTTCATCCTTGAGAAATTACAAGTGCGTGAATATCTTTATATTTTAAGAACTTGGTGACTAAATAGAAGGAGGGTTTAGACTTGCTGATAAATACAAAAGATACGCAGGGTTATTCTTAGCGACAGCCTCTTGCATTAAACATATTTTCAATATCATTTGAGACTTTGAACAGCTTTTAGTATTATTCTATTTCGTTAGAAGATTAGAAGGACAGATAACGTGACACTCTTTCCAGTAAACAAGTTGAATGAATCCTTTTTTTTTTTTTTAAATGGTAATGGATGAACGTGTTCGACTTTTTAGATGGTAAATATGATGCCTAGATTTATTTCTCTTGTTTTTTTTTTTTGTTTTTGGTAATGGATTGATAAACCTTTGTGCGTGTCCGACTTTATAGATAGTAAACATGTTGCCTGGATAATCCACTGCTGATACTCCATTAATCAATCTCCCAATTCTCCTCATGGTGATTTTTATTTGGTAATCTAATATTTTTATTTATTAAAGAGATAAAATAATCATAAATAATATGTAGTTTAATTATATACATATATATATATATATGCACATGTATGCATATATATATATTTATATGATAAATCTCATGTCCTTTTTATTCATTACATATCTAGGCTTGCTTTTGATTCTTAACTTTTGTCTTAATGTAAAAAAAAAAAAATAGTTATTGATCTATTTCATTTATAAAAGTTTAAGTTTACCAAACCGGCTTTAATTTTTTTTTCTTTGAAAACAGTATCCAAATATAAACTATGTTACAATTAATTTTATGCCAAACTTCGTTTGCAAATTCCATTTTATGCAAATGTAGTGTTGCAAACTTTAAACCAAATTTATGCTAACTATTTATTGGATATCGCTTACTGCTCACTGGCTTCTTGACATAGATTATGATCTTCTCAGAAAAGTTGCCATTGTTGGTTCAAGTGAGTTTGAGCAAGTTATTGTTTCTTCCCAAGCATCGCTTCCACATTCATCTCAAACCTCCAAGGTCAAACCAGAGCCTCAAGAAATTCCTAGATTCCAATCACCCGGCCAAGGTTCTCCTGCTCTTTAGGTACTTATTCAGAGAAAGAGCCTCTTCCATTGATAGCTTCTCCTTCTTATTTGTCCTCAAAGCCTGCACACAAAAGAAGCATTTCACCATCCTTGGAGAGCAAGTTCATGGTCTCATCATAAAGCTTGGATTTGAAACAATAGTTCAACTCCAGACATGCCTTCTGAAAATGTACTCCGAATGGGGAAAACTGCATGACGTACACAAGTTGTTTGAAGAAATACCTAGTAAGAATAGTCTTTGCTGGACATCTATGATTTCTGCTTATGTTGAAAACCAGAGACCCAGAAAAGCCTTGCAACTGTTCAGACAGATGCAGGTGAACAATGTGGAGCCTGATCAAGTTACAGTCACTATTGCTCTCTCTGCCTGTGCTGATATCGGGTCCCTTGGAATTGGTGAATAGATCCATTCCTTTCTTCTAAGGAAAGAAGGTCTAAATGGAGATTCGACCCTGAATAATGCTCTCATTAATATGTATGCTAAATGTGGGGACATCATGGCTGCAAGGAGATTGTTTGATGGAACTAGGAGCAGAGATGTTACAACTTGGACATCCATGATTGTGGGGCATGCCCTGCATGGGCAAGCAGAAGAAGCTCTTGAGCTTTTCTCAAAAATGAACACGAGGAGAAATGATAAAACACAGAATACTAGAACTTGTCTCATAGTCCCAAATGATGTAACCTTCTTAGGAGTTTTAATGGCTTGCAGCCATGCAAGGTTGGTTGAGGAAGGGAAGCACCAGTTTAAAAGTATGACTAAAGGTTATGGCATAGCACCTAGAGAGACTCATTTTGGTTGCATGGTAGATGCAGAGCTGGATATCTGGGAGATGCCTATGACTTCATGATGGAGATGCCAGTGTGGCCAAATGTGGTGATGTGGCGAACCTTGCTTGGGGCATGCAGCCTCCATAGAAACATTGAGCTAGGTGCAGAAGTCAGGGAGAAGCTACTGAAGTTGGACCCTGACTATGTGGGTGACTCTGTTGCTATGTCTAATATTCATGCGGATAAAGGCATGTGGAATAAGAAAATGCTTGTGAGAAATAAGATAAAAAAGTCAAAATCTCCTGGTTGCAGCTTGATAGAGGTGGAAAGCAAGGTGAATGAATTTGTGACAGCAGATGATTGTCATCCTTTGAAAACAGAGATATATGGTGTTCTTGAGCGTTTGATCAGAACCATAAAAGCTTATGGTTACATGTCAAGGCCTTCAAACCCTTGAAGAGTTGTTTAAATGTCCAAGAAAATTATGGGGGCTCTTTTGAGATGTTTTGCAATTGGTAATGAACACAATATTGTTTAAATACCTGTTATTTGATTTAGTTTTAAGTTGCATTCGATGCATTATGAATTTTTTTTAGCCTCCAATTGGTTTGTGTATTGATTATTTTTTTGATAGACTGTTCGTGCATATTCTTTATCATCATTACTCACTATTATAGCATGCAATGAGCAGAACGACATCCACTTTAATTAAATGTGCGTAATCATTCTGAGAGGTTTTCTTCAGGCCTTCTATTGTTGGGGAAAACAAAATCTCTTATAAGGGAAAGCTATAGGCTCATACCAAGTTACAGAGTATAGGGGTTTCACTTGAACCGAGTTCAATTTTGTAGAAGAATTGATACAGACAAGGCCTTGTAGAAGCAGCCTTTATGGAGACAGATTTCTTGTTATTGACTCCATACAGAAAAGCAAGAATGAAAGTCATGGCAAGGCAGACAAGAAATAGATGTCTATCTAATATGCTTGCTTATTAATGAATATTGTCTGCCAAGTTCATGTAAAGGAAAAAAAAAAAATGTGAGAGTGAGATTGAAATAATGCCCAATAAGTTCCTTCTCACTTTTTGAACTCCTATTGAGCATTTTTCTCACACTACTAAGAAGTACTAAAGTTTGAGTCACATTACTTCTTAATTATTCATCTGTCCCTTTGATATGATAACTAACATGGAAGTAGAAGTACTGCATTATGCAATGATGTCACGCTTTAAGAATAAGCTCATAAGCAGCATCTGCCAACTGCCATTTTATTTCTTGCTTATGTTTTTACAATGATAGTCCATATTTCGAAGTTCAACTGCCAACATGTTCTATGATCTAACTGCATGCCCCACTATTTTACAGTCTTGGCCTTACTCATCATTCCCAGCACTCAACAAGACACATCATCTTGATGTGCATCACCACGACCATTTTGATGGAGCTGGGCTGGGTGGGCTTATCCAGACGATGATTTGTGGGTACAATGAAGAGGGTCAATAGGAATCCACATGAAGAGGCAGAAAAACTCTCAAATTAGGTTAGCCGCGTAAATGTTTTGAGGGATTCAGACGAGATTTGTTTGATGCTCTTCTCTGTACTGTTTTCATTGTCAGTGGTTCTCCCAGACTGCCCTTCAGTTGGTGTTGCTGAGGCATCTACTTCTGCTGTATGCCAAGCTAAACGAAGTGAAGGTTTTTGGTTACTCTTGTTTTAGTTAATTGTGAAAGTTGCATTACAGCTTCTCCTTTGGGTCAGAGCTTGAAATGGTTCAGTGTTTTGATCAGTACAAACTTTTCAGCTCTAACTCTCTGGTTCATTCCCTGACCTTAAGTTCTATATCTTCTTTTGCCTCCTACATTCTAGATTTTTTTAAGCTTATTGGTCTTGTTGCTTCCTTATATAACTGGTATGCTGATACTGGTGAAGAATTAATGATAAAATTAGCTCTTTTAGTTGTCTACCAGTGAACTGTATTCTTTGATTGAGCTATTTCACCATTTAGCCTAATTCAAGGAATAGAAACCAAAGAACAAAGAATGAAGTTGAATGAGACATTTTTTCTATTTTGCTTTTGCGAAAACTTATGCTGTTTTGCATGTTTGAAGAGTCTGGGCTACCACTTTTCACTTCTTTTTGCTCTTCCCAAGTGCATATACATGTTTAGATTATTTTGATGCTCTACTTATTAACATGAGTAGAAGTATTTGTATTTCCTTTTAAAGTCACGTTCTTCATTGTATGGAAAAGGAATATCTACTTACTTCAGTCAACTGAGGAATGAAATTTGCCAGAAAATATAACTGATAGTAATAAATGCCTACATGAATGGCTGTTTAACTTTGATCAACTGTTTAAGAAGTGGAATGTAGATTCTTGTTTTAAAGTTTTCTGCTTAAAATTTGCCTAGCTGCTAGGCTGCTGCCTTATTTCCGCTATTGTCATTTTTCTGAACACTAATCTGTCCTTTCTCTGGTTTTGTGATATTTTATTTATTAACATTGGTAATGCGCATTCTTATTTATTAACATTGGCAATGCACATAAGGGTGTTTGATTTCAATCTTTCAATGATTGAAAGGTTGAAAGCTGAAGAAGTTTGACCATTTTAGTAAATCAAAGCACCTCTTCTAGTTTATTTTTATCAAATGTTGAAGTTTTCATCCTTTCTTCCCCTTGTTTTTTTTTTTAAGAGAAAACTCGAAAGAAAAACGAACAAAGACAAAAGTCTAGGTAGGATAGTTCTATTGGATAGGGAGGTATTGCGGCAGATTAAAATTTTAAATTTTTTATTTTAATGTGGACTGAATAAAATCATTTAAGTCAAGGTAGAAAGAAGAGTTATCTTTTTCTTTTTGGGAAAATGACAATCAAGTCCCAAAATATCACTTTTATACTAGTTAAGTCTCAACTAATTTTAAAAGGCCAATCAAGTCCCATGCTGTTTTTTCCCAATCAGAATTACAAAGGAAATGACGAAAATGCTCCTATGAGTAAATATAACATGTACACTCATCAGCTCTAACATTTGCCTCCCGATTTGTCTCTTTTCTGCCATTAATGAGAGGTGTATGTAAGTGGTGGAGCTGTATATTGAAAAATACCCATTCCTGAAATAGAGTTATGCTTGGAAGAGGTGAGTTGCCTTAATTATTAACTCAAGGAAGCTTAAGGAGTTGTGCTAATGCATGTAGACAGGTATTTTTTTTTTTGGCAAATCCTTGCATCTGAATAAAAAAAGGTTGACTCCATGAAGGTCTGATTTCTTGAAAAATAGTTTTCGTAAAGAAAAAGATGGAACGGTTTTCTGCAATTGAACATGAAAGATTTATTCTTATTTCACGTTTCTAAATATTTGGCATGAAGATTCGACATTTTGCAACTGAAAGTGTAAGAAATTACTATCGAGTGTTCATATTTTAAGATAGAATACTGTCACTGTTTAACTGATGCAAAAATCACTTATGTGAAAAGTAACTTATTTCTAAGTGATATATTATTACATTTTATTTTATTTCTTGTAGGTTGATATTATTGGGTACGATGGAAAGTAGTAATTTAAAGAAAATTTTGTTATTTTCATTTTGGTGGAGATATTGTAAAAGATATGCATGAGACAATGCATTATGATGGGGGGAGTTGTAATGGAAGAATGATTAGAGAAGGAATGTCTCTTGAAGGACTTGTTAGATTGATTTCATCATGCTTGAATTGTGATTTAAATGGAATAGAGTTGAAGTACACAGTGAAGTTTGATTGCAATGCTCTTTTAGACTTTAAAGATGATGAAGGGATAAATCAATTAATGAAATTGAATGATAATTTTGCTCATGTGTACATCATTGGGAAGACACAGCAAAGTACAAAGGCAACAAGAGATTCAATTGATGGATAAGTTTTTTTTAATAGTTGCATAATTAATATTATGCTAATATGAATATGTATTAGTACTAAACATGATTTGAATGAAAATGCAGAGCAGGATGTTCAGCTGAGAATTTACATGCTACACAAGATCTTGAAGTTCTATCATATGTAATATAAAGTATCCTAACACCAATGCCTGAACTAAATGCAACAAAGTGAAAGGATTTGCTAGTGGGACTTGGGCAGATTTTTGCGAGTGTTGATGATTGTAGACAAGCAATTTACAAGTATAGTATTGTACTATACATGTTATCTTCGTAGTTCATAAGAGAAAATATACAATGGCACTATGTATCATGTTGAGACCCATGAGATGTTAAAGCCAAATGCATTGACAATATCTAAGCTCATAAGCCAAACTTTTTTCTCACCTCTTAGAACATCTCGATCAGCTGGCAGACCTTGTCATGTGAGGATTGAGTCTCAATATCAACAGAAGAAGGTTTATCATTGTTTTCATTGTTATAAAGCAGGTCGTACACGAAAGAGGTGTAGAAATCTAAAACCAAGTTAATGTTATTGTAAATGGGTTACCGCATGAATTTGGATTTGGGTGATATACATATATGGGTAGTTTTAGATCAAATTAGATTTGGTTAACATATATAGGTTTTTTTACATATATATTGGTAGTATTGAGAGATTTTTTTGGTACATAGCAACCCCTCTTTTATAAATTCAAGTTCATGCTTTTGTGTATGTGGACAACTGATATGTGCAGATGCATTAGATGAATTAATACATGCAACTTATATGTACAGCTCATATCTTTTGTAATCACTAAAAGTGTGTTGTCTTAAAATTTCGAAGAGAGGTTGCAAATTATTTGTAAGGCAGTTGCAAAATTTGATATATCAATTGCAAATTACTGGAGCCATGTCCTAAAATAATTTGATAGCTTTGCAAGTTTAAGAATTTAAAAGTTATTCTACCTAAAATTTTGAGAATGAGTTGCAAATTATTCGTAAGGAAGTCGCAAAATTTAATATGTTAGTTGCAAATTACTGAAGCCATGTCCTAAAATAATTTGGTAGCTTTGCAAGTTCAAGAATTTAAAGTTATTCCACTCAAAATTTCAAAAAAGAGTTGCAAATTATTCGTAATAAAGTTGCAAAATTTGGTATGTTAGTTGCAAATTACTGGAGCGTTATCCTAAAATAATTTGATAGCTTTTTAAGTTCAAGAATTTAAAAGTTATTCCACTGAAAATTTTGAGAAGGAGTTGCAATTTATTTGTAATGAAGTTGCAAAATCTGGTATGTCAGTTGCAAATTACTAAAGCCATGTCCTAAAATAATTTAGTAGCTTTGCAAGTTCAAGAATTCAATAGTTCTTCCATCCAAAATTTTGAGAAGGAGGTGTAAATTATTTGTAAGAAAGTTGTAAAATTTGGTGTCTCAATTGCAAATTACTGGAGCATTATCCTACAATAATAACTTTAAGAATTCAATAGTTCTTCTACCCAAAATTTTGAAAAGAAGTTGCAAATTATTCATAAGACAGTTGCAAAATCTTGTGTCTGAATTACAAATTACTGGAGCGTTGTCCTAGAATAATAACTTTTTTATATTATTTATTAGCTTGTAAAAGTTATTTACAAGTTAATTTTGTATGATTGGTTATGTATATATTTTGTAAAAGTTAAGTATTTTAGAAATGTTTAGAGTACTGATTTGCAAAACTTCATGTTTTTTTTTGAAATAAGTGGTAAGAGTATTCATTATACTTGTTTAGAAATTTGATATGCATGGCCTAATGGAGATATATTGTAAAATATAGCATGTTAGGAGGTAAGAGTTCAACCTAGTGGAGATAGTAAAGATTAGGTCCATATGACACTACTAGCAACTTAAGACCCCACGTGCAACTTATATTTATTTTTAGTGCCTAAAAATCCACAAGCTATCCTGTGCTAAGTGGTGGCAATCTCAGGCAAGATTGGGGCAAGCGTTGGCAATACATGAAAAAGTGTTGGCAACCTTTGCAATGCTTGTGGCAAGTGTTGGCAAGGTTCGTAAAAGCTTGTGGCAAGTGTGAGCATCTACAAACTGTCCAGTGACAAGTGGTGGCAACCTTGGATATGATTGTCACTAGTGTTAGCAATGTACAAACATGTGATGGCAACCTTGTAATGCTCATGGCAAGTGTGGTGTTGGGAAATTACTCTCCTTAACATTCATAGAATGCGGAGTTGGAGGCTATGCTACTTAACATCCATAGGATGTGGAGTTAGAGTAAAGACACTTCAATTACTTGTAATAAGGGAAACTTATATTCTAAAAGTAGTTTAAGATGCCTTGACTAGATAGTCCTACAATAGGTGGTAAGCTTAGGACTAACATGTGGTTTGGTTTTATGAAAATAGACTACCGATTCAATCAAGATATTGGAGGATCGGATGAATAGTAATCATACATTGTATTGTGGTGATAATATTTGCATACATGTGTGTATACTCGAATGCCTATACTGGTTATAAATCTAACTTTTTACATCTGAGTGTCTAAATTCCACATATGATGTCAGATCATAATGAAATATACCATTAGTTAGATTACTGAGTAAGCTTTGCATTTGTGCTTGAATCACTCTAACTGGATATCGGATGTGTAAATGGCATATGTCCTAAATTTGCCTAAAAAAGTTGCGGCATGTTGTGCACAAGTAGCGGCATATGGCACAAAGGCCATGGCATGTTGTGCACAAGCAACGACATATGGCACAAAGGCCAAATTTCCCTCTCTATTTTGCATGTCATGACATATGGACCACGTGCCACGGCATATGTGCTAGAATGTGCTAAAATGACTTTTTTGGCCTTATTTTCATGTTTTGCTTCCCAAATCTTTCAATGCTTTCCATATTTTTAAATATTGATAAGTTTGAGCTCAAACTTCATATTTGAAGGGTTTTTCTTAGGATCTTAAAGATTTTCAATTGTATTTCATAACCTCATTCTATATCCACTTGATACAGGAGAGGGTTAATCAAATCACCACACCAAATCACAACAATTCATAATCAAAAACTTTGTTTAAAAAGCTTAAGCCAAGACTCATTTTGCAGAGTTATTAAGTCACAACATATATAGGTGTTATATAGCAGAAGCAAGTCACATGCATTCATAACACTAATTGCATGTATTAAAAATCACAAAATTAGGTTAGAATATGGGCCATGGTCATGGCATGCAATATATGCATCGTGGCATGTGGCACAGAGCCACATGCTCAGTTCTCATTTGTGTCATGCATCATGGCATGTCGGTCCAGATTTTCTATTATTATTTGACAATAAAAATGATAAATTTTCAGCATGCGTCATTTCCACATACAACATCTAATTGGAGTTATTCAAGCGCCTACACGAAGCTTATATGATAAGTTAGCTAATGAGATAGGTTTGGACACGATCTAACGGTTTGATCAAAATTTGGACACCTGGGGTGTAAAAAGTCACTTTGTCAAAAAATTTTGTGCACTTAAGCGCTTAATTTGATCCATTTATCTCATTAGATTACATAAGGCCTTGAACTAATTCCAAAAAGACCCAACACACTTGATTAACCATATTTCATCACATATATACACGTATGTCAAAATTCGATCGTTTAACAGCCCATTTTCACATTTCACAAAATTTCACTAATTAACACATTTTGGCCCACTTGGCCTTTTATAATCACAAATTTATATATATTCACATTCATAATATAATCACAACTCAATTTAACCTTAAATTACTCATTTTATTATAATTTCACACATGGGCAAAGATTCACCAAAACTGACAACATTCTTTATAATTTCTATATTCAACAACTGATAACCATTCAAATTATGCATGTAGTCTAATAGCAACTCATAAATATAAAATTCACACTAAAATAGTTCATTACATAAACTCAAAGCTTCTCAACAATCACGACACTACTATGCCAGTCCAGACTCTTTTCCTTTGCTCTAATCATTTCTCTGTCCTGTAAATATGTAACAACAGGGGTGAGATAAAAATTTTAGTAACATAATAACTCACTACTATTGACAATCATATAGGTGGGAATATGGGCGGGCCCGGCCCTTGAGTTCGGTTATCTATTTTTAGTCCCTTTTTCGAAGCCCGGTCCTTATGTAAAGGGCTCAGGGTCGGGCCCGAAAGCCCTATTAAAAAATAAAAAATTAAAATGAAATTAAATATTATAAATTAATTAAAATATTTTGAAATTTAAAAAATTAAAATTTACACAATATTTTAAAAATTAAACAACATATTTAGAAATCTAAACAACACACATTCATCAATCAAAACTCAAATTCTCTTTATCCTCATCATCTACAAATAAAACATTAGATCTCTTGAATGTAAGTGTACTTGTTGAAGAATGAAGATGGAGGTGGAAATTCAATATTAATCACCTTTACAACTTCTTCTTCATCATCTACAATAAATATTGACCAAATTGTGTTATTATCAATCAAATATATTTATGTATGTGTATATATATATATATAAAATAATCAGGCTTATTAGGGCTTGGAGGGCCTTCCAAGCCTGAGCACCTTTTTATAGGGCTTATCAGGGTCAGGCCCTCAAGCCCGGTTCCTTTGAAAAAAAATAATTTTCAAAGCCCGAACTCTTATTTAAACAGGGCCTATAAGCCCAGCCTTTCAGGCCCGGCCCTCATTCCCAGCTCTAGACAATCATATGCCGCTATATGAAAGTAAAGCATAATATATCTTTTAACATAGCCCATATCACACATTTCATTTCAAGTCACAATAATATGTGTCAATTTACTTCTTTTACCACTATAATCATCACTTTTTCACATATATAATATATAACATGATCACTATAGATCGAACCTTCAAATCACTCTAACTTGGAACCATAGGCTTGCCTTAGACTAATATTCAATCTTAGTGGCCTTAAGCTCACCTTTAGTGGTAGAATCACCGGTTAAAGGTGCTTTATCACACTTTCAGACTATAGTTTTCCCTAATAAACATAATGGGGTGTCATTGATTCCAATACCATATCACACAAACACTAAGGAGTTCAAATCTCTAACACCACATCTCAAAAGACATTAAGGAGATAATCTCCAATGCCGCACCTCAAAAGGTACTAAGGAGGTACAATTCTTAAATATTGCATCTCGTCAGGTACTAAGGAGAATATGCCCTATGTTCTTATCATCACACTCTACATGGATGAACTCCCACCTCTATGATCATGCTTTTCGAACCATTTATGGGTTCCTAATTTCCACTTTACTTATATATATATATATATATATACATATATACATTTTTATATCAAATTACACAAATCTCATTACTTGTCTAACCAAAATTCTTTTTTATGCAATAAATATTCAATGCTACCAAACATGTTAAGTTTAAAACAATTGCAGACATTACGTAGCAAACTCACAAAGTTACAATAAATAGTCAAATAAAGGAAGTTATTCAATTACCTCAATCCTTTTGTCACTAGAAAGGTTACCTGTGGATTTCAACTACTACTATAGCTTTTCACAAGCTTCCTTTGTCAACTCAAATGCGTGATATGCCAATCTAAACACATTTGGTGCAATTTAGTCAATTGGTCCAATTTGGCCAAAAGTACGTAATTACTACTTATGGTTACACTT